TGCACATCAAATTATCAGATATTTTATAGAGATTTTAATTTTTTAATTTAAGTCGTCAATCGAAGTGACAATTTTGGAGATTAGACGTTTTATAGTCAGATTTGTCTAATCTATTAACGTAACTAGTTGAAAGTGGAATTAAGCCTTAAGGCAAGTTGCATGAACCTTCCCGAAATGTATAAAAATTGACTTAATCAATTGAAATTGAAATTTAGATTCAACTGTTTATTTCAAAAATAAATTTATCGCTTAATTAAATCTAAACATTGCGATTTCGAGTAGAAATATCTCAAACACATTTAAATTAACTGTAATTATATTAATTATATTGCACAGACACGTACTTGTATGCCCTAATTATAGTTTATTACTTCAAATTTTAATGAATTGATAATGCTTGACTCATCACATCACAAAAGCAACTTTTGACATAAATTTTGACTATAATATTTTCTCAAACTTTGATGAGTTTTTAACATTAAACTATTTTTTGTAGGACCGTAATATTTTAGTATGATCTGGGACGAAATTTTTTTCACATTTCTGCGATTTACAAAAAAACGGCTTGGCTGATCGTTGCGCAAAATTGATAACGCTAGCCCTCTTCGAGATACATCGAATGGCTTTTAAATTTTTGAAATCGGTCCAGCCGTTATTGAGAAAACGTCGATTTACGGCAAAAAATCTGTTCACACACACACACATACACACACATTCTTTTTTCGAATTTGGTCTCATTTGATTATTATATCATTATCTGCTAGACCGATTTCAAAAATTTAAAAACCATTCGATGTATCTCGATGAGGACTATCGTTTGTCAGTTTTGTGCGACGATCTGCCGAGCCGTTTCTTGTAATTTGGAAACAAGTGTTAAACATTTTGTCCACATTAAGCTCATACTACTGAATCGATTTTAAAAATCAATAACTGTTGTCAATCAAATCTACGAGCCATTTTCTTGTAATTAACTGTTGAAAAAAAATTAAGCCGATTTTTATGGAACTTTTTTTGGCGATATATCATGGCCTTATAGAACTTACTGAAATATTACTGCCTTATGATTCAGAATAGCTTGAAACGTCGAGAAAACATAAATTTAGCGAATTGGATTTTTTGATGAAAACATAAACTTCTCCTTCGGGAAGTTAAAAATCAAAAAATATTTTATTTAAATATCGAAAATAGTTTCAATTTTAATTCTAGCTAAAATACTTGAAATTAATAATTTTAACTTTTCAATGCAGTTTATATAAATTACTTTATTTACTTTTTATGTAAACTTATATAAACTCTATTCTCCAATTTATGAGCTCTTATATTTTGTCTATAAAATACGAATAATAAAAGTTACAGTATTTATAATAATGTATTTCAACATATTTAATATTCTTTTAATATTTTATTACAGTACGAGAAGTACAGGTAATTTGCCTTAAAACACGAAGAAGTAAAAGAATTCTCTAATGTTTATTGCCCAAAACTAAATCGAAAAATGGTTCTGATCATATTTTTAGGTAGATTTTATAAAAGAGAAGAAACAAACGAATATTGACATTTTTTTTAGAAATAAGGTGCCTATTTGGACCACTTGTGGCATTCAAATTTATTTCAGATGATCATAAGGTATTGAGCGAATAAATTTGCTATGAAAAAATGTATTTCGCATAACAAACTTGCTCCCGGTATGAATTTTGTATGGCGTTATACGAGGCACCCACTGTATTTAGCTTCATATATAAATTGTTAATTCAAAACTGCTACTTGGTTTAGCAGTAAACGCTTAGTTTGAATTTATGCACTTATAAATCACGTTATTTCACGTTAATTTTGCGGCGCATTCAGCATCTTAGTTTAAATCAGCTTGCACAATAAAATCTCTATGGCTATCAATTTAAGTACAAAACTGAATTTATTACTTGTTTATTAAGCTTTTAATGGTTGTGTTAGATCTGACTATAAATAACCCGACTCGATTTAATTAACTATTTGCTACATTTGCTCAATAAACTGTTGAAGCGGTTGCTCGTTTTAAAATAAAAACGGTTTTTATCGCATTTTGCCACCTGAAATATCTGCATCGAATTGAAAATCTTCTTAAATGGTAATAAATTCTGAAAGAAGGGCGATTACTCAATCGCCCGTGGGAAACGATATAAAATGGGTAGTTAAGCTGTGGATCCAATAACGATTCCGTAATAACATTGCTACATTGACTACTACATTTAATCATAATCCACAGTTAGAAATAAATCGGCTACATAACATTTAAAAATTCTATTCTTTTTTCATACATTTTAACATTTTGAAGAAGTTTTTTTTCGTCAGACGCCAAATAGTCTCAGTTCGATCCCAAACCTCAGCGAAGCTCGATATCAAGCAGTATGATAAATTTTTGTTCGAGGTTTCAGATCCTATATATATATATATATATATATATATATGTATGCATGTATTTATATAAATTATAAATATATGTATATCTTCGGTTGTGCGATCACAGTATGTATGCACAAACTATTTTAACAGTGAAAGGTGACTACAAAAGTCGTTTGAAACAGCTTTACAGTAAGGTATTGGTATTTCCCACTTAGTATTTAATTAATAAATTATCTATTTCTAATTTATTTATTTATTTATTTTTTTAATTTATGTTTAAGAAATAACGCGAATTATCATAATTGTGAAACTATCGTTGCTAATTTGATAAAGCGTCTAATCTATTTATGAATCTATTTAAAAAGATCTATCTATTAATAAATATATTTCTTTTTTTTTATTTACATCTGTCCAGTTAAGGACATTTAATAAATTTGGTGAATTTACAATTGCCAGCCGTAAAGGGACATGGTATACTGAATGGGCATGTTGGAAAAACAACTTAATAGTTAACTTAATATAATATTAACAATATTTTATTCCTTATCTATGATTTTATAGATAATGATATAATCTTAACTATTTATTTATAAATAATTTCTTATGAATAATGACTAATTTATTTCAATCTTTATCTGGAAAATTGATGACTTAAATCCAGTGGGGCTTTTTTTTTCAACCTACATCGATTGCTCTGTTAATAGAGTTTTCTAGTGAATTTGGATAACTGATGAGCTTGTTTCTATATTTATGTGCCGTTTTTGTCAAAACTAATTAGTATTTGTTTTGTTTATGTTATTATGTATTCTTTGTCAGAACTAATATAGTAATTAGTTCTGTTCTTTGTTAAATGCTAAAAGTGGTCGAATTATAAAATTTCATTAATTTTTTAACTAATGGGTTGGGGTTTTATTGGCTGTCGATTATTTACACGTATCAGGAAGTTTATTCAACTTGCCTGAAGGCAAATTCCACGACACTTAGTTTAATTAAATCAATAATAATTTAACTAATTAAATATTCAATAAACTACCTGAACGCTTGTGTTCACTGAACCATTTCTAAAATGTTAAAAGCAACTCTTCAGGCGTAATTGTTATGTGGTTTATGTAATTTGTGCACAGTATGTTTTAATTAATATAACTTCCATTGGAATAACAATTAAATTTTAACATTTATATAATTAACCCTCCGTCGGTCGGATATTTTTTCACCTTCGAACGGTCGGAAAGGTCTGGCTGGACCACCATTCATTTTACATGCATTTATATGGGATAAATGAGTTTTTGGTGTCTTATATATTAACGATTATTAGTAGTAAATATTTATAGTTTTGATTTTTTCTTTTTCTTACCGTCTTTTGCATGTGTTGAGCTTGCTTATAATAAAAATATTACATGTTATATTATATAAAAAAATATCAACAAATATAAAAAAATCGTTGCTTATTTAAAATCGTTGTTGTTAATTTTTCGGTTTTATATCAATGAAAAACAATATTTATTCTTTTTCGGCGCCTTTGAAATGAATGTGAAATTCAAATGAAAAATAGTTGATAATGGGTGCATTACTCTCTCCGACTTTCAGTGTTTGCGATTACCAATAAGTTTGGTAGGTTTTCAAGGAACTTTCGTCATGAAAATACTAACATTCATGTAACACAGTAAAGAATATATACAACGCAGTTTGAGTAGAAAATACCATGAAAAAAGACAAAATACTGGTTTACAATATCAAAAAGCGTATATTTTATACAAAATGTATGGGTGGTCTAGACAGACCTTTCGACCGTTCGAAGTATAAAAAAGTTAATATCCTTATAATTATCCTTCTGTACATTTTTTCGTCCTGATTTTTTCATTGATCGACAGCTAATGAAATTTTAGGAAAAGTCAAAAAATTTCAAGTCGATAGGATTACTAGAAGTATTTTTTTTTTATAATTGAAGTCGAAAAAAGTCTGGCCAGACCACGCCGACCGACGGAGTTAACCCTCCGTCATTAAACATAGTAAGTGTTAATATAATTGTACTATGTTCTACATTTACTATTCACATTTAATTAATCAAATTTGGCTTTAATTTATTTGATCTTTAAATTTTAACTTATTGTTATTCATAAATAATGGTATTAAAGTGAAACATTCTTCGTAGTTTTTGTGGAAGTTTCAAACCACTCTCAATATTTCATAATATACAGAAAATACACGGATGATATTATATTAATCATGCTACCTTACGGGAAGTAAATAAATGCTAAAATATTGTGAGACTATGAAAAGTGATTTAAATTTAGAGATGCATCAAAATTTAAAAATTCTATTATCAAAATTTGAAAATTGCTAAATCTGAATTTTTTTTGATTAAGTCGATTAATTATAAATACTCTTCTTTTATCTATGGAAGAGTGCATGCAGTTTGTTTTAAAGCAACCTACACCCAGTTATTAAAATAATTAATGAATTATTTAAATATTTAAATTTGTTTTCACCAATTTGAAAGTGGCGCCTTTCGCAAATCGTTGCGCGTGAAGTATGCAGGAATTCGCTTCGCCCAATGACATTTCGACACACAATTCCATACAGCTTCGAATTAGAAATTATTAATGTCAGATATTTTATTCTGTTGTACCACGTCATTATTATCTGTGATAAAAAATATAACATTAATGAAGGTCTTAATGTCCTCTATTAGATAATTCAATTAGTTTTTTAGTGCTTTCCCAGTGACAAGAGGTAGAAATAATTTTATAAATACTTTCATGTTGCATATGTCGGTGTTTGGGAACATAACCTGGAATTTACAAAATTTTGAATATGTTTTAAAGTACTGATTTCTGAATAGAATAAATTATTTTTACAGGTATTATTAAACATGAACTCTTTAGTAGTTTTAATCGTCTGTTTGACGATTGGATTTCTGTCAAATAATGTGCAAAGTGCTGCTGTTATGTCTGTTGACTTGGGGAATGAATGGATGAAGGTAAAATAAAATCAATTATTGCTTTAATAATGCATATTGTAACCTAATTTGTCAAAACAAACTTCTGCGTAAATAAATTGCGTTGATATATGAAAGTTTCTAATTTGCCATATTTTGATTTAATATTGCATCATGAATTAGAAATGTGACTGAATGGTATATAATTCATTATACTTTTACTTTGATGAATCATTAGGAAAAGCTACACAATTTTTGTAATGAATTAGTGAATTCAATTTACATGAATTTTTTCATTCTTTATGTAAACTCAAAAGTCTTAAATTCACAACATACACAATTTAATTTGCCATAATGCGATAGTACGACCTATATGATTTTTAACAATGTTGGTTATAATATAAAAGTCTTCTTTCTCATTGTCATTTGATTTATTATAAGATTTCTATTTTAAATAATATATGTATATAAAAAGAATGAATTATGATAATCTGAAATGTAAATATATTTTTTATTTTTGGGCGATTATCAAGCTTGTCTAGTGATTCCTAAAATATTATATATATTAACACTTAAGGGACAGGCTCCATGCCATTTTTGTATTTATATGAAGCATGAATGTTTATATGCTTCAAAAAATACTAAACACTTTAATAATTACTATTATAGAATTTTAAAAATAAATGTTGATTTAGTAAAGTTTCATTGCAGTTATAATGCTTTATACCATGTTCATCAAATTTTTCTAAAAAAATTTGAACCGACCATTAAGTGTTTTCATAATAAAATTTGATAATTGTTATTTGCCTAAACCATTGCATAATATTATTTGCCTAAATATAGTTATTTGCAAATTTTTATTTCTTAGCACAAGTCTTCACATAATCAAATCTGATCAGTTTAAAATATTTTGTTTGTATAATTTCTTATGTTGTATTCAACAGAACATCTTTGACTTGTAAAGTACAAAATTTTGAATATATATTAGTTTCAGATTGTTTAGGCTAATATCTATTATAATATGTTGTAATTCATGTTATTTTATCATGTAAATAATTTTGACTTTTTCTATTATTTCAGGTTGGAGTTGTTTCACCAGGTGTGCCCATGGAAATTGTTTTAAATAAAGAATCTAAGCGAAAGACACCAGCAGTTGTAGCTTTTAGGGACGGTATTCGATCGTTTGGAGAAGATGCTCAAACAATAGGTGTACGGTTTCCAGCCCAAAGTTATGCTTACCTGTTAGATTTACTTGGAAAGAGTATAGATCATCCAGTTGTTAAGCTTTATCAGAAAAGGTATGGATTATTGAATATCTTATCATAATATATAATAATCGTTTTTGCATAAATTTATTTAAAAGTTTATAATGATTAACGTGAAATACATAAAACTATTTCAGATTTCCTTATTATAAAATAGAAGCAGATCCAGTGAGAAATACAGTAGTGTTTAGACATGATGATGACACAACATATAGTGTTGAAGAACTAGTTGCTCAATTATTGTCAAAGGCTCGTGAAATGGCTCAAATTTCTACTGGACAGGTAAATTGCACATTTTTGACTATATATTAATATTTTTACTTTGAGAAATCAACTTTTTTTTGTTATAGACATTATTTGCAATCATACGAAATTTGTTTTAAATAAATTAACATACATATTATATATTGTAATATATAACATACATAAAATAATTAGTACCATTGATTTTTCTCATCTTTTATATATTCATTTTGTTATTTGCTATGTATTACTTATATTTAAATCCTTGATATTATTTATAATAAATAGTGAACTATTTGAATTAGGATTTCAATGAATGATATTTTGAGTTTAAATTTTGTGAGCATAATTTTATTAAACGACAATTTAGATATTCAAGATTGTTTAAATTTTATAAATAACCATTCAAGATTTGATCTTATATCTCATCAGTACACATTGTTATCCAGGAAGGCTTGGTTAATTTAATGTATAGACAGTTTTATATGTACATAAATGCATATGGAAACTTATACATTTATTTTTTACTTCTGAATTACAAATAATTAATTAATATAAATAAATTAACTGTTTGAAATTAATTTAAATAAAATTTGATTACATACTGTGCTTATATTTCTCTGATATTTTTATACTGCTTGAGATAAAATTCAAGTTTGATATTAAAGCCAAGCATACCTCTTTTTAATCTATTTTTATTATTTTCAGATCATAACTGAATGTGTCTTAACAGTTCCTGGTTATTTTGGTCAGGCGGAAAGACTAGCATTGTTACAAGCTACCAGCCTAGCAGAACTTAAACCATTGCAGTTAATAAACGATTATTCTGCAGTGGCTTTGAATTATGGAATATTCAGAAGGTAAATGAAAATCAACTGAGATATTATTTTATTAAAATCTGATGGTGTATAACACTTTGTATGGTTTCTTGATGAATTTATGAAATATTTTGTCAACTATGTCACATTGTGGATTTAAATATTTAAATATTCACACATATTTCATCCTACACTATATATGATTAGTCTTATGTAAATAGTTTGTTTAGAGAAAACATACACAATAAAGTTACTAATTCTTTTTCTAATTTGTTCTAAATTTTAGAAGTCTTACAATCTGACTCTCCCGCTTGTTTATTTGTTTGCAACAAGAAATTGAAATAATCAATTATTTCATTAAGGGGGTTGTTCTTTTTTTTGTTACAAAACATGCAAGGTATTTGTTTTTGTTTTTCTCGAAATGTATTTATCATAAAGACATGAGGTTTTTTTTAAACAAAAATTACAAAATCATAGAATATTAAGAAATTTTTTATTTTATTTTTTTCGCCGTAAGTTTTTAACCAGGGGGCGCCAAATTGGGCATTGCAAAATCGATCTCGTTTGCGGTGCCACAGATAAATCCGTTGCGCATCGCCTGAAACAAAAAAAACGAAACTACGTTGAAGAAGAAGTTTGAATCCAGTCCCCCTACCAAAATGAAAGAAAAAAGCAAGAAGGAAAAAAATGGCAGCTATTTAAAAAAAAGTGTCCAAAAAGGCCTTTGTTTTGGGACGAAAAGGTTCGCAAAATTTTTTTGCGTAATGTTATGAAATTGTTTGAGGTAGGGGACTAGGTATTGCAGTGGTGAACAAATTAAAAAAAATGCAAGTCGATCCGACTTGTAGTTTTTTTTAATTTGTGGCACCGCATTGAAAAAAGTCAATTTGAGAAAAACGTATATAAAGTTTTAATATAATATACTAAATACACCATTTAATTTAATGTACGAAATACACCATGGTGTTCAAAGATGCTGACACATTAAAAAGGTCATGTGCATGAGGTATTATAATGAAAAAGAGGCAGCTGGCATACAATAGCTCGCGGAACGATAAAAAAACGCTTTCAGAGGATCATACGTATAGAGATATATATATCTATAACTTCTTAAAAAATAGATATTGAGATGATTTCTTTTTTAAAATAATT